AATTCGGATTTAGCTTGAAATATTACGTACTATGTGTAATTAGATTAATATGCTATATCACCATAATAAAATAATTTGTTTAGATCCCGAAAAAAATTAACTCAAGTCCCGAATCGTCTTGTTGCTAGTCCCGAAACGTCGTATTAGTCAGGTCCCGAAACGTCGTGGTCCCGAAACATCGTGCACCCGATACGCTAAAATGGTATCGCGGTTCGGTTCGATCGGTCCAGAATTATCCGAATCGTCCGTTTTGTTTCCTTTGTTACAATTTCAAAATGGCTTCCGCGCAAAACGTGAGGTCACCGATAACGCATTTACGGAAGACGGAGAAGGACTTAATGTGATTATAAGTTATAGATGTTAAGACAAATGATAAATCCTTTAGATCTAAACGTATTCTTTGGTAATACACGATATTTCATCACGTGTGTTCACTGTCTTGTTGACTAAACATGTTAACACGAGAAATATGACAACTGGTTTTCTACGTAAATAAAAGGAATAAAAGAATGAATGTCTTCCCTTTTCATTCCAATTTAAAACGAAGATTATTAGGAAAGGCCCCTGTAGTTCCCTGTAAATGTTCATCATTGGTTTAGAATATTGTCAAAACTCAAAGATCTACCCAACAATCCAATTCAAGTTAACAAAATTTTATTCTAATTATTATTAAAAAAAATATGAACATTTTATATAACCCTGTCAAGATTAAAAAAAATATGATGACAAACTTGAAAGACTTTTTAACCTTGTATCGTGATACGTATCGTATCGTGAACTGAATACCGTGATACGTATCGAACCGTGAGGTTAGTGTATCGTTGCACCCCTAGTGGACAGCTATGAAAATACCAGTATTTTCAACTTTTGATTGAGAAAATTGGCAATCGGAAGAATGAAGAAATCGTAAGGTGTATTTTAGATGTGAAAATCGTAAGATCTCTGCTAAAATCATATGGGTTGGTAGCTTTGTCTGTACCAAGATTGACATAATTTTCTTCCATGCAAACTAATCTGTTTATAATGAATAATAACCGACAGGTCAGGTGTATCATATGCCGTTGATGTGCACTATATTTTTGTATTGTATGAATTTCTGACCTTGACCTTTTGACATTAAGATAATTATGGCCCATTTAAAGTCACTAGAACTTAGATATGTAACTTCATTGAAAAAGCTCAAAGAGAACTTATTAAGTTATCACCTGGAAACCACTTTCTGCAATATATATATACATTTCTGACCTTGACCTTTTGACCTAAAAATCAATAGGGGTCTTCTTTAAGTCATAGGGAGTTCTGATACATAATTTCATTTCAAAAGCTCAAAGGCTTTTTAAGATATTGTCCGGAAACAAAAGTTTTCCACATATACAGAATGAAACTAGTGGGTATTGTTTTTTTTTTTAAACAAAAAAACATGTCTCCCCTTCTTACCATTATTAACAAGTGCAATAATACGATCAAGGTCAAAAATATTAATGCAGTGCATCTCAGCTCAACTTCCTCGCTCAGTGTACAAAATTTTAAGTCAAAAGGATCTTAACTTATGGTTTGGTCATTTTTTTCTTAATTTGACCTTGAATGAAGAAAGCGGTCAAGGTCAAATACTTTGATGCATTTAGTCTTAATGGTCTTTCTTTGTTCCAAGTTTAAAATCTAATGTCAAAAAGTTCTCAAGTTATGACCTTGACTATATATTCATGTAAAAGATTGACCTTCACTTAATTAATAGGTCAATAACCGTTCACGGTAGCTCAGTCAGTAGAGCACTCGCTCCGTGATCGGGGGGTCGTGAGTTCAAATCTCAGCCGCGACTGACCTAAGTCGATAAAAAATGGGTAGCAACTGTTCCTTCGCCATGCGCTCAGCACTTTGAAGTGAAAGTTGCCGGTCCTTTGGATGAGACCTTAGAAAACCGATAAAGCACGATAAAGAACCCTCACTGCTCAATGGCCCTGAGTGCTGAGTAAAGGTCAAAATATGAAGCCCTTCACCGGTTTATGGTGACGTCTCTATACGAGTGAAAAATTCTCGAATGGGATGTAAAACAACATACAATCAATCAATCAATCAAGGTGAAAAAAAAATGTTGGCATTCACCCTTCCTCCATACCACCTCTCCATGTTCCATGTTTGAAGTCTTAATTTCAAAGGGTTCTCAATTTATGGTCTAGTCCTGTTTTCTCAATTTGACCTTGATGAAGAAAGGGATCACGGTCAAAATTTTGGTACAGTGCTTCTTGTACCAATGTCTTTTTACTATGTTCAAAGTTTGAAATCCTAATATCAAAGGGTTCTCAGGTTATGGCTTGGACTCTATTTTGATGTAAAAGATTGACCTTGACCTTTTAAATTGGATCAAGGTAATAAATTTTGGTGGCGTGCATCCCTCCTTCATACCACCTCTGCATATTCCAAACCTGAAGTCTTTATAACAAAAGATTCTAGTTATGATCTAATCAAGTTTTTTCTCTTTTTGACCTTTAAAGCTGAACACGACTCGTAAATAGGCATACACCATTTTCAATATTACTATCTACAATATTAGCACCAGGGTATACTCTTCACATTTGTTACACCTGACTGCTTTATTGTCACAGGTATCGGCATGGATTGGCGACCCGTGTTCATGCTGGTTATCTTGCATTACCTTTGTTTACATTTTATTGCAGTAACGTGTATTTGTGTTTGTTTGTATACTGCACTGACCTGTGCAACTGTTGCAAGTTTCTTTGGTATCTTACTCTCCTGCATTAAAAGAAGTAGTTATTTTTTATCACTACCAAGTGCTGTATAGCATATGTCCGTCTATACCGGTGACTGTTGATTACACTGAACAGTGACTAAGTGAGTGGCTTTATATAAGGACCCTCAGATATAGCGAGAGACCAATCAAATATGGCAGACACATTTCTTTTATGAATCATGTTCGGCTTTAAAGAAGAAAGGGGTCAAGGTCAAAATTTTGGTGTGTTGTATCTTGTATCAATGTCTTCTTTCTATGTTACAAGTTTGAAGTCCTAATATCATAGGATACTCAAGCTATGGCCTGGAATCTATTTTGGTGTAAAAGATTGACCTTGACCTTATAATAATTGGATCAAGGTCAAAAAAGTTGATGGCATGCACCCCTCCTCCATACCACCTCTGCATGTTCCAAGTTTGAAGTCTTAATGTCAAAAGGTCTCCAAGTTATGGTCAAATCGTGTTTTTTCTCTATTTGACCTTGAAGGAAGAAAGGGTTAAGGTTAAAATACTGATGCAGTGCATCTTATATCAATGTCTTCTTTCCATGTTACAAGTTTGAAGTCCTAATATCAAAGGGATCTCAAGTTATGGTCTGGACTCTATTTTGATGTAAAAGATTGACCTTGACCTTTTTAATAGGTCAAGGTCAATAATTTTGGAGGTGTGCACTCCTTCTCAACGTCATCTATGTATGTTCCAACTTTGGAGTCTTAATTCAAAGGAAATTTAAGTTATGACCAGGACAAAATTTGGATGAAGAAAAAATCAACAAAAACAAAATGTCTCCCTTATGAAGATGAGACATAATTAATGACCTTGACTTTTGGACCTTAAAATCAATAAGGATTTTCTTTAGGCCATATGAGTTGCTATATGCAATTTCATTGCAGAAACTCAGTCTTGCTTCAATTTTGACACCAAGGCATTGCTTTTGTACAAATAATCATGTTTAACTAGAAAACTGACCAGTCAGCAAGGGCCCCGCCGAGGGGTAGAAATATAAAGGTGCAGCTTACAAAATGAGAATTTTAATTGATTACAAAAATTTAAAAATATGTGAAGAAGAATATGCAATAACAACTGTATTTATAAAATTTCAAGATAATTCATAAATATCCAACAACCTGTAAAGAGTATCCCTGTATTTACACAAGGCAGTAAAAAACATCATATCTAAAATAACTCAATTAAATGTATATTTAAACAAGAATAAAGCATGTGTTTTATAAAATGCCAGCCTTCAGTGAATGCAAATATCACCAAGGCTTGACCTTAACTTCAAAACAAACATCAGTTGCAGACAAAGGTTAATTTATCTTAAAGTGACAAATAGAGATAAGCCTGGAAAATTCTCTGCCCCAGACAATATATTTAATCCCAGGGGATTAATTGTACTGCTCTCACACCCTTTTCTTCCAAGTTTACAATAAGAACTTTTTCAGTAATGATAGAATGAGTTTATTATTGGACTATCTGTTGTAATTAATAGTATATGTATTCTTGAATTTAGGTACGGCAACAAAAAACAAAAAGGAATAAATAAATAAAATAAAAACAAAAATTTTTTTTAAAAAACATATCTTTATGTATATCTTGTTTTCAGAATTTAATAAAATCATAACTAATTATGTATTTTACCAAAATAAAGTATGAACATTATTTAAATCCACATTTCAGAGAATGTAAATCATTCAGAATTGACCTTAACTCCAAAACAAACTTCATTTGCAGACAGAGTTGTTAATTAATTCTCAATTTGACAGAAACAGATCATGCTTTGGATTTTCTTCAAGAGGAAAGTTAATTAATCCCATGGGACTAGTTGCAGCTTTCACAGATTACAATAGGAACAATCTCAGCAGTTATCTCTCTTTGCCCTGGCATTAAGTTAAGGAATCTACCCCCTCACCCCAGCTCCAAAGTGGATGACATAGATAACCAAACTTAGCATCAAAATATGTCTTACTGCTTCTTCAACCAACATACCAAATTTGAACTGAATTGGACAGCTACAAAAAAAGTTATTGGAAAAAAAACAGAAAATTTGTGGACGGAAGAATGGCAGACGGACAGACAGAGTGATTACTATAGGGCACCCGCAAATCCTTGCGGGGCCCTAATAATGTAGATCTTGCTATTGCTTGTAAAATATTTTGGATTCACTTTGTTTACAGCTTGGTGGTGAAATCGCAAAAAAGACCCATGTTGAGTCCACTCATTCTTTAAATATGCAATCAAAAAAAAAAAAAAAAGATTTACTTAAATTTATTATACAACAATTATGAATCCTGGTAGTGCATAATCAATTACATGATGCAAAGCAGAACAGTAAATATCCTAAACAGAACGATGCATAAATATTTGAATGTACAGAAAATGTCTCCAACTTTCACAAGCAAATATTTCCCTCTTTGCCTGTCACGGGTTCAAAAGTCCATTCACTAAATTTTCTCCTGTAAAAGTATTATGTCCCACAGTTTAAGATTCAATAATCTCTGGATTAAAAATAAAATTCCAGTCTCTCTTGGAGCAATAATATTCACCAGTTGTCAATTCCAGGCATGGGAAATTGGAGAGCAAAATTTTCCACTTCCTTGCGTAGATTGGCAATCTTGTCTTTTATCACTTGATCTTCGACTAGTTTGGCTTTGAAATCCTTTAGTAGTGGACCACACCCCTGCATTGCCTCTTTCGTTATTTCTAGACCTGAAATTACATCATACTGATCAGATTTTTATACTGTAAATCAGATTTTGTTTTTGCAAGAACTTTCATTTTGCATCATTTAGCAGGTTGTTTGAATAATACTACATTCAGATTAACAGGAAGCAACTTTTTTTTGTCTTGCTTAAAATCCTATTTCTAGTCTGGCTAAAAAAAAGGAAATAAGTGAATTATAGTATTAGAATGATATATTTTCACAATCAATATATTTGTTTCACTCTCAAACTAACCTGACTATTTTACATAATTCATGCATTCCTGTTCATGTCTCAATTTAGAGAATTCAAATCTTGGAGCTAAATAAGGTATTTAGTGGATCAATCATTTACTTAAATTTTACATTTAGAAATGCACATATCTGTGACAATTTAAGCACACGTGTCTAATTTCTGCACATTACTTTCTCAAATTTTTAAAGAATACATTTATGATCATCTGCAATTTTTTCTCTTTTTTTTCTCCTTACAACAAGAAAAGTTTCAAAAAGGAAAGCTCTCTGGTTGAAAAGAGGCTTAGATCCACTGTGTTGTAACAATGAAGTTTTTTTTTTATCTCCCACCTTTTCCCAATTCCATTAAAAGAATTCTTCATTATGCTACCATTATCAAAGCCCAATTCCTATGATTATATTAATTTCATTCCCCTTCTAAAAAAAAAAAAATAATAAAAAATTGGCATTCTGCAACGGTGGAATAGATAAATCCTGCTATACATGTTTTCCTACATGATTCATTGAAGCACGACTCCAAAACATCCTTATTTTCAACAACCTTTTATTTAAAATAGAGTCAGGATTGACCATTTTTGTTATCACAAATCAGATTTTCTTATGAAAAAGCAACTCCAATGTAGAATATTAGAAAGTTGTAGACATCCAACCATTATTATGTCATTTTCTTAATGTGCAAATCAGAAATGCACTAACTTCTGAAATAGGCAAAAATACCCTCAAAGTCTTTTGAACCTACCTTTGTGTATAAATTCTACTACTTGTTCAAAGTCTTTTTCTTTGAAGTTTCTGGATGTAAGAGCAGGTGCTCCTATTCTGAGTCCACTTGGTTTGAGTGCACTCTTATCCCCTGGACAGGTGTTCTTGTTCAAAGCAATGCTAACAGACTCTAAAACTCTCTCAGCTCTGGCTCCATCCATACCATTTGGCCTCAGATCAATCAGGATTAAGTGATTGTCTGTCCCACCTAATTACAAGACAAACACTTTAAAGTTACATCTAAAACTGATGGTCATCTTTGTTTAATATGCCACAGGTTTATAATCCCTCTGTTCACTCATTTTACATGCTGCTTGAACACTTAAAATTTTCCATAAGAAAATGCATTTTATAAGTAAAATGCAAACACTTTTAGCATAGCTTGTGGGACAAAATTGGTCAAAAAAAGACATTTAAACATGACATTTCATAAGGGAATTATATATTTATCGCATTAAAAGTTATCTCTCTTGTCAGAGTATCAAGACCTTAATGATAAGGAATTTTGAAGCTCTCCAATAGATCTCTTTCCTGAGGTGTACCTCAGTGTGTGTTCACCTTAAAAGGAAGTCTCAAGAGGTTTATTCAGGTTTTCACTATTCATCAATTATAGATTGCTTACACATTTTATCAACCAATCAATTTGCATACTTTAAAGCACATGTAAACATAAATAATGCAGAGGCTTGTATCAAAGTATATAACCTCTTGTTGATGTATTTTCCACCTATTTAAACTATTGAAAACTAATTTTGATATGTTGCTACACAATATATTATATTTCAAGTGATTATTTTTGATGGATACTATAACTTTACTTTAGTGAGAAATATATTGTAAAATTTTTTTACCATTTAATAAAATTTAACTTTTCACATTTGAATTTGGTCTTTCTGTGACTTTAAGGACCTGGTCAAGTATTGGTTCAGCCTCAGTCAACCAATACATGACCAGGTCTGTATAGACATTGATCTTAATGATACTTCAGCTTTTATTAACATACCTGATACGACAGTGTATCCCTTAGAAATAAATACTTTACACATAGCCTGTGCATTATTGATGACCTGTTGTTGGTATGCTTTGAATTCTGGTCTCATTGCTTGTTGTAATGCCACAGCTACACCTGAAATGTAGTAGGATTTGCAAAATTTTACAAGTGAGTTATCTTCAATTATAAAAAAAGAACCATGATAAAATTCTTCGTCAGATGCCTTCCAGAAATATGATAGTTTCAAGAGCTGGATCCCCTACAAGCAATCTAATTGTTTTATTTGCACAGCACCCAACCTCAAAATGTGCAGTTATTCAATGAATAAATGATAGAACTGTTTCTGGTTTATCAAGCATAATCATTTTTTGGATTAAGTGGTGGGCTCTTATTTTAATCTTTTGCTGTAGGTAATCAAATACACCTGATTTCTGCAAAATTCAAGAACACTGCAATTACATTGAGTCTGAATTTTACTACCTGGACTCTTAGTGGAAACTTTTTATAGGAAATGAAAACACTGAGTCTCTACTTTATATTGATGTTTGAAATGGGACATGCAGACTTGGTCAATTAATTGGTATAGACGGGACCATTTTATGCGTAATATATCAAAAATCTTCATAATTATCATTATCTTTTGATTTCAAAACCATTTCCAAAATATCTGAAAAACATATTAACCAAAAATCTTGATACCAGCAGTTAAGTGATTTCCAGTACAGGATTATATAGCAAATGCCATCCTCCATTATCTTGCACAAATGCCTGGTAATGTACCTCAATCTTTTGTGAGGAAACTTCTTAAAGTGGCAATCACAAATTCTTGGGAAAAGTTATATATTTTTGAGGACCATGTCAGGGCTTGACAATAACACTTGTACGGTACCAGTGAAAAAAAGTTACGGACAAGTGAATATTGCTGGGCACTTGTCGAATAGGACAAGTGCATTTTAATGTAAAGGAGTCTCTAAATAATAAAAAGAATGACTGTTGTGTTAAAAGTTAATTGGTAGTTTCCAGACTGAATCTGTACATAAAAACCGAACTTCGATCCTGATAGAGATTGCTATTAATTGAGTTCACATTTGATAGGGATCGAAGTCCACTAATTGCAAACTACTAAAAAGGCATGGAACTTACGAACTCATTAAGTTTGGATTCAGGTTCACGTGTGAGCATTTATGTTGTTGTCAGTTCAGAAAGTCTAGATAAAATTTCGTTTTATGTGTTCTTTATTAATAACATCACGAATCAATCAAGTACATGTCATGTAATGGACTTCAATTTTCAAGTTGACAGTATTAGATCTTTATTGAAAAAACTTTGGACAAGTGAAGTTGAAGTTCGGACAAGTAAATGCCTTGGTCACTTGTCCAAATGGACAAGTAGGGCAAAAAGTTAATGTAGAGCCCTACATGTTTTCTGAACTTAATGTGTTTTGTATTTCTTGTCAAAACTCAATAAAATAGAATTCAAATCAAAACCTTCAACATTTATAAAGGTATTCAGTGATTGAAATTCCCTACTTTTACACAGAATTTAGAGAGAAGCTGTCCCAGTCTTACCTGTATTGGAAATTGAAGTTTGATAAGAAACACTCTCGAAAATTGATACAAATGATATACATGTATATCAATACAGCCCTAGTGGCTAGTGCAAGCCCTACCTGCAATCTGATGGTTATGTGGGCCTCCTTGGAGTCCGGGGAACACAGCTTCATTAATTCTCTTCTCCAAGTCATACATTTCCTCTTTTCCATTCTTCACTCTTCTAACACCTGAAAAACATCAATATTATAACTCTTGTGATCTATGTTCAGAAAATGTGCTGAATATAATTCAGAACACCCAAATCATTTTGAAGGTTTTTTGAAGAATTTCACAAATGAAATTAACACAGTTCAGCCAAATTTTACAGAATTCACAATTTGATAAAATAAAATCTTTTTTTGCTGTGATTAGTCTTAAATTACCTTTCTTTGATTGAGGCTGAAAGCCTATGCTAAAAATATGTCAACCACAGCAGGGCTAAACCCTTACTTAGATAAAATTATAACTGCAGGACAGACTTTACCAATCCAAAGACCAGGCCTCATTATACCGCAAAAAAAACTATTAGTACCTTTCCTGTAGAAAATCATCCCTGATCTAGGTCCCCTAAGGGTTTTATGTGTTGTTGTGGTCACAATATCACAATATTCAAATGGACTGGGGGTAAGTCCGGCAGCAACAAGACCACTAACATGAGCCATATCGGCAAGTAAATAGGCTCCATTCTCGTCAGCGATCTCCCTAAATCGTTTGTAGTCCAGATGTCTAGAGTAGCAGCTCACTCCTGAAAACAAAAGTTTACATACTCATACATGTCCTTTTTAGAATTTTAAAACCATATTCAAAATTTTGCTCCTTCTCTAACTAATGGATACATGAATGTAATGTATGGGCCCAAAAATTTAAGTTAGTAAAAACCAAGGCCAGATACATGACAGATGATTCTGATCAAAGAAACTCATCTAAAATAACTGGCATAGGTGTGCAAATAACTATGAATTTACAGAAAAAATCCAAATCAAACCTGCAACGATCATATGAGGAAGGAAGAGCTTTGCATTTTCATGAAGCTGGTCATAGTCTATTAATCCTGTCTCTGGATTAACTCTGTATGGGAAGGATTCAAAGTACACTGATGTGGCAGATATCTTCTTAGAAGGAGTCATGAATCCATGACTAAGATGTCCACCATCTGGAAGATGAAGACCCATGATTCTACCATGGGGACCAACAACTCCTGTGTAGACAGCAAAATTAGCAGGGGACCCAGAGAGAGGTTGAACATTAACTCCCCACTTGTCTGGGGACAACCCAAAGGCCTGCAGGGCTCGTTTTTGGCATAGGACCTCTACTTGATCAATGATTTCATTCCCTCCATAATACCTACAGTTGATATTACATTTTTAACATCCTTGTTAAATTATTGTTTACACAGTCATTATCTAGGTACAAACATTACCTGTTGTTTATGCTAAGATTTATTTATTCTTTAATATTCTCCTCTTGCATAATACATAATACCTTTTAAAAAATCTCATTTACCTTTGTCCTGGTTGACCCTCTGAATATTTGTTTGTAAGGCAGGACCCTAAGCACTGGAGAACAGCCTTGCTCGTAAAGTTTTCTGAGGCAATGAGTTCGAGTCCTCTCATCTGTCGCTCCTTTTCTTGTTTTATCAAGTTATACATTTCAGGGTCATCAATGGAAATGTCTGCTTGGAGATCTGTGTGGTCTCCACCTCCATTCATTGTAGGATTGGACATGGTTACCTTTGTATAACAAATTAACAACACATACACTAATTCATTATCCATCTTAAAACTAAAGTTAGCTATAGCAAGCTCACAAAACAATACACTGTCACTATTTTTTGAAGTGCCTATTTGCAATTTTTTAAATGTGACCTTATAATTGCCAAAATGATCTTGGTTTAAAAAACACACCCTCTGGTCAAAAAAATCATTTTACCAAATATTCTCAATTACAAAGTCATAGCCTGGACAGACAAACAAGGTGATTCCTACACACACCCCATAAACTTCTTGGGGGGTTGGGGGGTTTAATTTATTTTTTTATAAGCTCATATCTTGTTACAATATTTTTTTTTTCAATTTATAGCATCTTCCCAAATCAAGGGTTTCTGATTCACTCAGTTCCACATAAACCCTTGATGGAAAAGACTAAGTTTGATGGAGTTTACTATCGCCCCATCTGGTGAGATTAAACATTTTGAACTTAATTGACTTCTACTATTGACCAATCAGAGTAAGCAAATTAAACAGAGAATGCAAGACAATATTGTAAATCGGTTATAAATTCAATATTACTCAACTAAAAAGCTGAGACAAGCCTTTAACTGAGTTATTTAATGGTAAAGATGTTTTTGTTGCGACTACCACTGGTGTGTTTTTCTGTTTATGATTTAGTTTCAGGTTACATAAAACAATTTTTTGATTGGCTCATGCAAACTTGTATGAGGCCAATCAGAGAGCGCATTTGTAACCCATTAAACAGTCTATTCAGTCAAGGATTTATGTGAAGCGAAGTGGATCAGAAACCCTTGACTTGGAAAGATGAATTTATTGTTTAAGGCAATCATCAATATCTTGAAACAATCATATACTTTATACAAGTTGGGTCCACTCTCTGAAATGGGATATAATAGCTTGTTAAAGTTACAATGTCTCAATTGGGATATAAATTTTCAGTACAAAAAAAAAGAAAAACTTTTGGTAAACAAGTTTTTTGATATTGAACAAACAGAAGATCCAAAATTTCTTGAGGATCAATCTCATCCACCAAAAGTTGTTGCACTCAATGTATATTTATTTAAATTTACAATATTTTTAGCCAAATATTTTTTTCTCTCCACCTTTTTGTACTGCAAATTGTATCTAATTTTTGATAATATAATGCAAACAGGCAATTATATCCCATTTGGCAGAGTTATTCCAACCTGTTATGCAAGTTTTAGATACTAAGTTCTGCTTTTCAATCATTTTGATAACATCTGTCCTTGCATATTTACCAAAAAAACTGCATGACTAGTTAAAAGTACCTCACATTAATGCTATAAAATACATCCAACCCAAACTGCAGACTTTTATTTACCTTCTGATTAAGTTGTGCATGGCAAAATAAGGGATTTTAAGCATTACATAATAAGACTTGGCATTCATTTCTACACTTTTCAGAGTAATTTTGCGAAAAGCAACTTATATAACTTAATAACAATAATAAAGCGGCTTATATAACTTGTCAGGTAATGTGTAAGGTGATGCACATGCTATTTTCCCATATTTTCAGTACAAGTAAACACTGGCAGGAGATAAACCTACTGCAATGTAGGTTATGAAATCAGTTTATAAACGGATCAAACAATCAACTCTCAAGTGGTGTCGACTGATCGAAGGAGAAACAAGTGATCTTGCACACTTTTCACCCGTGACTGTAAAGCTAACTCTGAAGGTCCGTGTCAGTGAAAGAATTCTAAATAAACAACATCTCTACTAAATAATAAAACAAAACAAAACAAAATATACTCACGTTATTTTCCTTAAAAAATTTCCCGCCACCCCAGTGCTTTCGACGTCAACAACAACTGAGAGAGCGCACAGGAGGAGTGAGATCTTATATACAATGCCAAACATCCAATTAAAATCCATGTAACATTTTCACCAATCTAAGTTTATCTATCAAAACTCGGGAATGTTAAATCGTACATAGAATATTTTATTTGGAAAACTTACATACTCAACCGTTGTAATAATAGTAATCATGAAATGATGATAATAATAATAAGATAAACGAAATTATCTCTTTTTTTGTAAGCTTAGGTAAGTTTTATCTCTTTATCCATTAAACAACTATTATAGAAGTAAATCGAATGGAAACATGTACAAGTTGGACACATTCAATATATTCACCCTTTTATGCAGGTAGGGGGAACTTTTCAGTCGAATGGCAAGGAATTGCGAAAGTGTTATTAAGTATTATTTATTTAGTTGTTTGGACTTACTGTTTCATGTTTGATGGCGTGATTTTAAGCTGCATATTTATTTGCAGCTTGAATTTCAAATGTATAGTAGAAATTTGTTGAATGGGTGTGTGTGTAATATTGTTGTATACAATATGTTCAGGCTGTGTATAATTGTGGCGTCAGCCAAGTTTGAATGCTGGTGGCCAGATAGCTCAGTTGATAGAGCACCTGACTGGTTCGAATTCTGGTCTGGTCTATCACATTTTTCTCCCTCGTCTGTTACGTTTGGTGTCATAACCATGCCCTGGAAGTGACAAGTAAAAGACCAGGCAGAGAAGAAACTATGTTGGTGTCTTCAGGGACAAAGATCTTTAAGAAGGGTGGAGTGTGGCGGTCAGGCAAGTTCGATCACTGACTAGAAGTATTCAGGCCTGGGTTTGAATCCTAGCCTGGTCCATTGCATTTTTCACTCTTTCTTGTTAAATTTGTTGCTGTGACCCATGCCCTGGAAGTGACAGGTGAAAGACCTGCCAGGGTAGAGCTTTGGTTAGCGTCTTAGAGGGTGAAGACCTTTAAAGAGGGAGGAATGTGGCAATCAGGTAGGTTAAATTGCCAGTGGTCAGATAGCTAAGTTTGCAGGGTAGACAGACATCTTGGCCCAACGACACCTCAGCCCGTCACGTTTGACACCTCGGCCCTGACAGTTCGGCCCAAGAAAATTGACACCTCAGCCCATATAATAGACTCCTCAGCCCAAGCAAAATTTTGTGATAGAAAGAATTAATCCAGTGTCTGAAATGATATTATTATAGGTATGATTATTCTTGCTAACGATTAAAGGATTTTCGTACTGAAAAACAAATTGGGAAAGGGGGGGTCTATGATAGATGATTGGTTCATTTCTTTTTATAACTATATAACTAAAATCATATAAGTTCTCTCTTGTGGAAAATGCCTAATATTATAAATTATGCTAAGTAATACTAGATTTCAACATACTAGCAATTCTTTCTTACGATTTTATATATTTCTATTATGAGAATTTTATGTTATCTTATCATTTTGCATTGTTTCTCTGACGATTTAACACATTTGAGATAGGTCAATAATAGTGAAAAGAAATGGATTACATTTAAGCATTTCTTTTTGTTTGTTTGCTTGTTTGCTTGGGAGGTTAATGCGAGAATAAACAGATGCAGCTTTTATGATTTTTTTTTCATCTAGAGTATGGTTGAAACCATTAATCTTGAATTAAAATTTTATGTTTCATTGACTGAAAAGCACACATCTAAAGAGGAAACGTAGGGAAAATGGACTCGAGATAGTTTAGCGACATAAATGAATTTATGAATGTACAAGGGACATTTAAAAAGTTCTGTTAACTGTTTGATAAAATGTTAACTTTCGTGAGTGTTTTCTTAGGAAATAAAATTGAAAATATTCAATGGATGTAAATGTACTGTCTCACAATTAAGTCTGCTCGTAATTAACCCCTCATTGTCACCAGTATGACACACACATGAGACTCCAAAGGATGAGCCGCGGCATTTTGTTTGTTTACCAATTAGCACCTTAATCATGTTAATTATATGTCTTCTCATTCCTTGAATATGGTCAAAATGCTCATGGAAGGTTTTTTTATAATCTTAAAAAAAATTGATTGCATATTCGATTAATGTTTTCAATCAATATTATATTTAAGTCGCAGATTGGAAATATATTTCGTAATGAAATTTTGCTTGGGCCAAGGTGTCTTAAATCTTGGGCCGACCTGTTTGAGCCAAGGTATCAATGGGCCGAGGTGTCGTTGGGCCAAGGTGTCTGACATTCGTTTGCAGAGCAGTGATTAAGGGGTCCTGGGTTTGAATTCTAGTCTGGTCTTCACATTTTCACCCTTCCTGCTGCATTATGGAAAAAGGGGGGGGGTTACTTCATGTTTCATTTATCAAACAAATCCTGACTAAAATCAGGCAGCAACACATCTTAAGTAATAGATGCACCTTTCTTTTTGTGTGTTGCAGACAAAAACATCACAGTTTCTTGGTAAATTTTGTAGCCTGCACTTACATCTCATGACTAAGTATTCCTCATCATCTGTGTCCTGGTTTAAGTTTTAGGAGTAGATCCACTCTCAAGTAACTATAAGCCCTACCTTGATGAGACTTGCATGGATGATGCATCTAGGTATGTACACAACAAAGCATGCTTTAGATACGTACTGCACATGATTTACATTTTCTGGATGACTGAACAGTTTTAAGATTTTGAAGAGAGTCCATTCTAAAGTAACCATAAGTCATACAAAGACCAAATGTCATGAATGTTACATATAGTGAAAACTTTTTGAACATTCATTTGGTGTGAGACTTATAATACCAGGTAGATAAAGAAAATCTTTGATTACCAATGTTAAGTTTTTATAATATTGGGAATTGCTTTTGTTTTCTTCGCTTTTTAATGACGTCCATAAATGTGGGAGGTTTCTGCTGAAGTTTTCAGACAATGGTGATAAAATACATCAAGTCTGAGATACTTCCACTGAATAGATGTGCAGATGAGTGAAAGCTCACTTCACAAGTGGCATTCAACTTTGTGCTTGCTTATAATTGGAAATCCCCTATTTTACCCCACCTTTTCATATGGGCTTTCATAAGGGATAAACAGAACATGTACTAAACAGAGTATACATAATATTTAATATGATATTGAAAACATAAAATTCCTTCACATTTACTTTTTCTTTTCTTTCTCCATTTGCATTTTTCAGATCTTCCACCTTTTTTTTCTTAAGCAGGAGACAGAAAGTCTCTGAATTACCTTGAAATGTTACTTATTTGTTCCATATATATTATTATACCCCCTGCAAACGAAGTTTAGGGGGGGTATATTGGAATCACCATGTCCGTCTGTCTGTCCGTCTGTCTGTAGACGAGATTTTGTCCAGGCCGTTTCTCGGACACTGTTGCAAGGATTTGTCTGAAAATTTGTACACTTATTATTCACCATATGAAGGTGTGCACCTGGTTTTTTCATCATGATTGGGTAATTTTTCTGCATTTTACAGGTGTTTTTTTTCATTTTTATTGTGTGGTTTTGTCCGGACCTGTTCTCAGAGGCTATTGCATAGATTTGTATGAAAATTTGTATACTCATTATTTACCATATGAAGATGTACACCTGGTATTTTCAACATTATTTGATAATTTTTCTGCATTTTACAGATTTTTTTTTCATTATTATTGACTTAGTCATTATGGGTTTATAAATGTCTAAGGTTTGAGACGTAGAATCTAGAACATCTGAAGTGTACAAAATTGTGAACTACAGCTTAAAACTACTCATTAAAACTAAAAAAAAAAAACATCACCAGGTATTAAAAACAGTTTTTACATTACACAGCAGATAGTGTAAATCCGTTTGTCCCTTGGGAGTAATGAGTGGACATGCATCCAGTTAAAGATTAATTAATGAGTTCAGTGTGGGAAGTTGTTAGGGCATCTCTGATCAAGCAGGTGTTATCTATATCTCCTGGGAATTTGGCAAAAGAATTAAAGATTTCTGTTCTCTAATTCTCTTAATTGTTATTTATTGTCTGTCAAAGTACTGACCAGCCTTTTATTTTTAAAATAAATTTGATATAAAGTTATCAAGATTAATTTGATTTTGTATAATGTATGTTTTTTTTTTCAACAATCAATTTCAGTGTCATGTCCCACAAAGATGAAAGATAGTTGCAATTTATTTTTTCAATGCATTAAAAAACAAAGTAATTACAATGTATTAGTGTTGCTATTTTATTAGGTTGCACCTTACTTTCATTCATTTAAAAAAGTGTAATGAGCAATTATATTTTTACTCTAAATGTTTATAAGAAAATTGTGAATATAACCACTTAGATCCATAAAATATTAGTAATTTGGAACCTTCTCTAAAAAAACCAGCAGGGGGTATTTGTCCCTTTTGGACAGTTCTAGTTATTACTTGATCACCTAAAAGTAGATATGTGTATTCAGTCTTCATGAAAACTTTTCAAATTTACTGGCCAGGAGGACCAGTGAACTTTCTAAATTTACTGGCCCATCAAAAATTTTACTGACCCCCTTAATTTAAATCTAAAAAAATGGATACATAATATGCCAACTTTAGAAACGCCACCATTTTTTGCAGTGTTTCAGTATGTTGTTTGTAGGATATTCCCTGTTTATCGGTTGTTGCATCCAGGGTTAGTATATGTACCGTAATATGTCCAATACGATACACCAACAAATGCTTGTTCTTTTTATTTAATATATTAATAAAATTTATGCAAGCAAGACAGCTTAAATATATTTTGACTGTGTATGACTTTGAGAATCTACAAGCCCATCGGACTTCTTGAATTTTAATTTTCACTGACCCGACATCAAAATTCACTTGTCTAGGTCTTCGGACCACTGAGTTTTCGTGAAGACTGCGTATTTGGAATTCCCTAGCACTAAATTGATACATATCTTTTTCTTATTATAAGGTCAGACTGTGTGACCATTATTAAGAGAAGTTCCATTGTCCATTTTATTGTTACTCACCTGAATATGTAAATTCAAAATAGTACAGTGTACTGTGAACTCTTACCCATATGTTTCATTACAAGTTGTATGTCTTGTGAGTGCATGTGTCCAGAAAAGCCTCTGAACTCTTTTTTTTTTTCGTCCTTTTTTTCCCATGTCCAATTTAAGTCCTCTGATATAAATTTGTGAAAATAGATACAGGTTACTTGTCTTAGGATGTGATTCTATGAATGCAGATGGTATTGAATTTTTACTTTTGTTAAACTTAAGATGTAAATTTCTTACAAACTGAATTTATGTTGCACTTAGATTGTTCCTCTTTGTCTAGTTAATGAAAATAGATTTTTAAAAAATTGCTCATATTGGAAAGGTCCATCCTTTCAAATAACCAGTACATTAGCTATTTCTTCTTCGCAATATTTTCTTATGGATTTTATATATAAAAAAAGGATATGCAGATAAAATATCCCCAATCACCAATTAATGTTGTTATTATTGCTTTTGATTTTAGATCATATAAAGAGAGCTACTAGTATTTGAAGCCAGAAGATGAAACAATACTAATTCAAAGGTAGGTGTAAATTCAAAGAATTCCATCTATTTATTTTCTTTATATAAAGTTTTCTTTTTCATTCATCTGAATAAAAGATTCAACTATGCTTTTCTGAAAGAAATTTGTCCATCTGATAACTTTTCACATTTTTGTGTTCTCCAATACTGTACCATCGGACAAATCATTTTTGGGAAAGTAGATTCAAAGTTCTTTATCGTGATTATTAGGACTGTTCCTTCTACTTAGGAAATTAATTGGTAATGTAAAGACAGTTTGGAGTCATTTAAAAATATTATTAATTTTATTTTTATGCCCCTGCCATAAAATGGCCGGGGCATATAGTGTTACCCTGTTCCGTCATTCCATCATTCTGTCATTCCGTCATCATTCACTTTCCTTTCATTATCTATGCAATAGTTGCACACGTTCAACTCAAATTTGACATATGGATACATCAAAGGAATACACAGATCAAGTTCGATGATTTTTGACAGAGTTATCCCTCTTGAACTTAGAAAAAAAAAAAGAAGAAATTTTCAGTGTCCACTCTCTAACTTTTGTAGGGATGTATGTAAAAGGTTGAAATTGCATATGCAGGTATTTTACCAGAAAATACAGGTCAAGTTCGAATACAAATTTAAACTAAATAACGGTATGGCTTTTGAAATTTTGGCTGCCTGCGGGGGTATTCATGGCATTACGACACATCTAGTTTTTACTTAAGTATCGAAAACAATGCTAGGTAATCGATAAGCAATACTTGGTTTAAACACTCAAAACTATTAATGAGGTAAAAACATTTCTAGAAAAAAAGCATCTTATCTTGAATATGTATATTGAAAGGTATTCAGTTTTAATTGCTAAATTATAGCATGTGACAAAGGAATAATGAGTGATGCTCTATAGCAGCAACAGCATATATTCGTTTGCATAGGAATCTCTGGTAAGTTTTCCAACTACATGTACCATCAATGGACATGTTCATTGGTTACTTCTGAAAGGTGATACAGGTTATCCCTTCATCTGTAAATATTGACCTCGGATTCATTAGAATACACAACACAGGACAATCTTTAAAAATTTTCCTCTCAAGAATGTAGAACCATATCAGATATGAAAGTGGCCAATTGTAGTATATAAATTTTAATGAGATCTTAAGTTAGTCTGGTCCTCAGGTTCTGAAAATCAGGCATTGAATGATTGAAAATGCTCACAAAAATGTCTCTGAATTCTTAAAGTAATGTATATTTAACAACGGTAATTCTTCAAACTTCCTCTTTAAAGTTAATCATATGATATAGGGAAAATTAGTAAATCTCAAATAAATCTTCCGGAAATGTGAATAAAAACACCTACTATGCATTTTCCAATTGAATATTGATCAACAAATATATTTTAGGATAAAAACACTATAGGTATCCAGGCATTTGAAGAAAACTGCATGATTTTTGTTAAATATAGAGTATGAGTTTCCTACTATATCAGAGATACAGGGTGGGGCTTGAGGTAAGAGCGATAGCTCGAGCAGGGCCCCGCCCTGTATCTCCAATACAGTAGGAAACAAAATATTCTAAATGACTTGTGACATGACCTTTCTTATGACCTCATTAATTTACATGTGTATTTAGGTACATATCTCTCTACCAATCAGATGATTTTGTAGAAAGTTGATTAGTACCCCATTTTCAGCAATTAAAAATCCGAGTGAGTTGGACGTGCAGATATCTATCAATTTAAATATTTATAATTATTTAAACAATAAAATGCTTTCTTTGGTTGTTAGTATGGAAATTAATGTCGCAGCTGTTGCAGAAAAAATACATAATCCACATAAGCGGTTTATGTAATTTTTTTTCGGCAATAGCTGTGACGTTAATTCCTATACTAACAACCATAGAATGACATTTTATTGTTTATATCTGTATAAATAATCATTTAAAGTAAGATTAAAAAAGATTAATTATTGTATTATTGATATGCCCCCCCCCCCCCTCCTCCTTTATAAAATCTATGAATCTGCCACTGGTAACTTTACGTTGTAAAATTCTATTCTTAATTCATCTCAAATTTGGAATAAATACTAACAGCGCTATCATGCGATTTGATTGATTTTTATGTCTGTATCATTTAAGATATGGATTCAGTCTTCTAAAAATAAACTGTATCGTTGATATTTTGCAGATAATGTACAGTGTTTGCTCATTTGCACAAGAAACCCCCACAAAAAGTGTTCTGTATTGCAGTTATTGTACGGTTGACTTCAAAGAAAAACTCGCCGGGTCATGTCACAAATTATTATATGGTACTTCAGTTTCTTCTATATACTTCAATTTTTTATAATGTATAGTGTATAAAGCATTTCCTATCATTGCAAAACATCATAAATCACTGCTAATTTCATGTCTTGCCAATAAACAATGGCATTTAAGACTAGGCTAAAGGAAATTGGATTCCTTTAAATACTGGGTATGTATTTTTTTAAAATACTTTTATTGGGTACAATCCTAGTGACAGGACCTTTCTTTGGATACAAACAACTTTGACTCTTTGATCTTGACCTTGGAGTTTGACCTACTTTTGAAAAACTTTAACCATGGCCATATCTTCTGAATGGCTTTCATATTTCACATGTATATTTCTTGTGAGAAGGCCTTTCCTTGGGCACCATTAATTTTGACCATTTGACCTTGACCTTGTTGTTTGACTTTCTTTTGAAAAACTTTAAACTTTTTCATATCTTTTCAATGGTTGCTGCTAGGGCTTTCATAGTTCACACATATTCCTCGGGACAAGACCTTACCTTGGGTACCAATATATTTGATTTGCATTTGAGAAAGTTTAACCTTAGCTATAAGTTGCCATACGGGGGCATCAGTGTTTCACAAACACATCTTGTTTAATGTTTTGCTGCAGACCAGTAAAGCTATAATCAATAAGCATACATGTACAAGAATCCTCATGATTTGTAGATCTTTAACTTTGTCTGAGTCAAATCGGGCTAAAATGAGGTTTAAATTTTTGCAAAGGAACATAAAGGAATTATTGAATTTATCTTTTTGAATTTTTTTTTGTAAGAAACAATAAAGCTTCAATTTCTTATGTCAAGAAAGTTTCATGCAACAATTAAATCACATTTTCTTGTTTATTCTAGCATGATTGTATGGGGGTAATAAAGTTTTGAATATCCCAGTCAAAATGGACCCTCGTCAGTGTTGTGAATCGGTCTGTGAACCAAACACAGTGTCGAGATTTGTGAGAATATTTCCAAAAGCAGCTTTATTTTTTCTTGTTCTCCACATTGTAATAATGATAATTACAGGTAAGACTTATTACATTTCTTCTCCTTACTTCAGCTTTGTGTGATGTGATTCCAGCTCAGATTATATGTCTTGCCAATGTCTATATTTGCTTCTATGCACACTCTGCTACCTTCTATGATCAATAATGCAAGTTGTGTAGGTTATAGATCATCTGAGCATCTTGAGTTGTGTATTTTTAGCTCTACTGGTCAGAGACCAGAAGAGCTTATGCAATAGTAAGGTGTCCGTCGTCCGTCCGTCTAGCTGTCTGTCTGTCCATCTGTCTGTAAACAATTTTTCAAAATACTACTCCTCCTACAGTTTTGGTCTGATTTCAATATAACTTGGCACACAAGTAGACTACACTAAGATACAAAATTTAGTGCATCGGTTTTTGATTTCGATGAACGGTGTTGCCATGGTTACTATAAATAGAAATTTCTGTGACATTCATTGAAAATGCTTCTCCTCCTACAGTTTTGGTCTGATTACAATATAACTTTGCACACAAGTAGACTACACTAAGATACATAATTTAATGCATCTGTTTTTGATTTCAATGAACGGTGTTGCTATGGTTACTAAAAATAGAAATTTCTGTGAATTCCTTTAAAATGCTACTCCTACAGTTTTGGTCTGATTTCAAAATAACTTGGCACACAAGTAGACTGCACCATCATACATAATTTAGTGCATCAGTTTTTGATTTCAATGAACAGTGTTGCCATGATTACTAAAAATAGTGATTTCTGTGAAATTACCTTAAATTGCTACTCCTGCTACAGTTTTAGTCTGCTTTTAATATAATTTGGCATACAAGAAGACTATACTGAGATACATAATTTAATGCATCAGTTTTTGATTTCAATGAACAGTGTTGCCATGGTTACTAAAAATAGAAATTTCTGTGAAATTCCTTAAAAACACTTCTCCTATAGTTTTGGTCTGATTTTAATATAACTTGGCATACAAGTAAACTACACATACTAAGATACATAATTTAGTGCATCAGTTTTTGATTTCAATGAACGGTGTTGCCATGGTTATTAAAGATAGAGATTTCTGTGAAATTACTTTAAAACACTACTCCTGCTACAGTTTTAGTCTGCTTTTAATATAATTTGGCATACAAGAAGACTATACTGAGATACATAATTTAATGCATCGGTTTTTTATTTCGATGAACAGTGTTGCCATGGTTACTAAAAAAAGAAATTTTTGTGAAATCCCTTTAAAACATTACTCCTCCAACAGTCTTGGTCTTATTTCAATCTATTTGGCACACAATTAGAATACACTACGATACATTATATGCATTTCGGTTTTTGATGTGGTTACTAAAAATAGAAATTTCTTTGAAATACTTTCAAAATGCTACTCCTCCTACAGTTTTCATTTGATTTCAGTATAACTTGGCACAGAAGTAAACTACATTAAGATACATAATTCTATTTATTAATGCATGTTGCAAATCCCAGTAGAGCTACAGTCTCATCAGAGACTTCTGGTTGACATGAGTACCATGAATAAAAAGTAAAATTAAAACTGCAAAGATTTCCATACATTGTGTTTTAGGGGACATTATGTATGCATGATAGAGGATGCTTGCTGGTATTATTGCTATCAATTGCATGAAATTAGTGGCCATGATTATCTTATGCATGAAAATCCATCATATTTAAACATTATGCTTTGTCATTAAAAAAAATACAGGACCTCTCACAATTAAATGAACTGAAGTATTGAAATGCCCAATCTGATTAAAATCAGATCTTTGTTACGCTCCGAAATTCTGATGGTCGCTGTACAAAGCGACCATCAGAATTTCGGAGCGTAACAAAGATCTGATTTTAATCAGATTGTGAAATGCCTTGATCTGAGCAAAAGTTATAATGCAATATGTTTATAAAACCAGTGAACATCACAGCAATTATGAATAAGTAGACTTTTTTCTTATATTTAAAGCATGTTTAACATACATGTAGCTCTTAATCATGCCTGTACCTTAAGTTTTGTTAAAATGTAAACATAACTAATAGGTGTTGACACATGTACTGGAACTTAATAGTAATCCAGTGAGAAACATTTTGTCACATGTCACTCAAAACTTCAGCTCATTTAATTGTACAGGTTTATGTAAGCAATGCATATATGTATACCTCTATTTAATTCTGCATGAAATTATATCTCATGTATATATTTATTTCAGATTCCAATGTGGTAAACATGAAATTTCTTGTATCCAGGTCTATTACCCCATTACTAACTTCTGGTGTTTCAATTTAACTCTACATGTAAATCCACTCTTGAAGTTAATTTATACTTAATAACATCTCTCATTTCTTTAATGTCTAAAATATACACAATATTAAAACACATTCCATCTCATTTTGTTATCAAACAACCAAATTAGGAATTTTTCTTGCTTATGTACATGCATTTACTTTAAAGGAGTGTGAGTCAAAATCAATTTAAACTTGCAAAAAGTAATGAAAATATTAAATAAAATCCAAATAATTTCAGAGTATAGAATATACTTGTATGATACATACTTGTACCTTTATATTTGATTTATTCAGTGATAGGCTTTGCTAATCGTAAAGACACCGCACCAGCAGTGACCCTTACACCTCCAGAGGATGACCTTGGGTTTGTGAAACTTCCTCATCAACCAGCTGGAGATAATAAGGTCAGAGGTCAAATGCTTATTTTAAAATCTCAGAATTATTACATGAATGATATTTGTTTTCATAGATTAAACTGATTAATAAACTGACATAAAAATGAGGAAGGAACAAATTTTCAAAATGTTAAAGACACAAAAATCAAATTTTTATTCCCCGCCATGAATATGGCTGGGGCATATAGTGTTTGTCATGTCCATCATCCATCCTTCTGTCTGTCCTTTGTCAGATATTGATGAGAGCTATGCAACTGCATCAACATTTTTTGACCTTGACCTTTCCTTTTTATAAAAATCAATGAAATCAATCAAATTTTGAAAAAGAAATCATTCTTGGGTGAGGCCAAAATAAAAGCCAAAAATTTTTACAGAGGCTAAATTTGAGGCCAGGCCAACTTTTGAGGCCAGGCCAAAATTTGGTTTGAAACCAAATTAGAGGCCAAAATAGAGGTCAGGCAAACTTAGAGGCCAGGTCAGGCCATAGGGGCCAGGGCAGGTTTTATAGTATGCCTAGCTCTGGAGGTTTGAATATACAATGGGAGTGTGGGGGCTTGCCCCTCTGGAAATTTTCAGATGGATGTAGCAAAAGTCTGCGAGGGTCATTTCTAGAACTTTTATAAATAAATATATTTCAAATGTTACATGTATGTTTAATCACTAAAATCTCTGTAACTAAAAGGGGAATTTTTATCAGATGAGTGAAATTCTGGACCAATTGTTCAAAAAAAAAAAAAAAAAAAAAAAAGGCAATTGTTCTGGTGCTGTGCAAGGCTTTATATATTCTGTAGGAAAATTTGTTTTCTATTGAAAGAAGTTATTTTTCCTTGCTATTCACCTATGATAATTAATCACTGTAAATAATGTACAGGTAATTGATAAGTCAATGGAATAAAGGAATTACAAAAGAATTTTTTATTGTATAATACAAAAAGTACATGTACATTCATAGTTTTTAATGGTCAAGTAGATTGTGAATAATAGGTAAATAAAATTGAAACAAAATACCTTCTTTCTGCATTAAATATTTTTCAAATACCAAGAGAGGCCATTCTGTCAGGGAATGATGGGGGTATACTAAATGTCCTCAATAAATTTTGTTTTGCTTTTCTGCAAGGCGATAGTGACAAATGAGAATGTATCACATGTAACACTAAGAAGTACTGCAGGCAAATAAATAGATCTACTTTATAATCCCTTACTGAGCACTAGACTCTTCAAAGCCTTTATCCCTGATCATCCTATTCTCTTGCTTTTTGGCAACATATCTTCAACTTTCAGATTATTATGTTTTATTGGCTCACCTGATCTGATAGCTCAAGTGAGCTTTTCTGATCACATTTTGTCTGGCGTCCATCTGTGTGTCCATCTGTAAACTTTTCACATTTTCGACTTCTCAAGAACCACCAGGTCAATTTTGACCAAACTTGCCACAAAACATCCTTGAGTGAAGATGATTCAAGTTTGTTCAAATAAAGGGCCACACTCTCTTTCAAGGGGAGATAATTAAGAATTACTGAAAATTTAATGTCATCTTTCAAAAATCTTCTCAAGAACCATTAGGCCAGAAAAGTTGAAACTTTATATGTTAAACCTTCATTACATAGTGTAGATTCAAATTTGTTCAAATCATGACCCCCAGGGGTAGGGTGGGGCCACAATAGGGGGTCAAAATTTTACATAGGAATACATAGAAAAAAATTTTAAAAGTCTTCTTCTCAAGAACAACAAAGCTGTGATCAGTCATATTGATATGGAAGCATCATCAGGTAGTGTAGATTCAAATTTGTTAAAATCGTGACCCCTTGGGGCAGGGTGAGGCCACAATGAGGGATCAAAGTTTTACATAAGAATATATAGGAAAAAGCTTAAAAAATCTTCTTCTCAAGAACAGCAAAGCCATGTTTAGTCATTTTGATAGGGAAGCATCCTCAGAGAGTGTAGATTCAAGTTTATTCAAATCATGACCCCCGGAGGTAGGGTGGGGTCATTATGGGGGATCAAAGTTTTACTTGAGAATATATATAGGAAAAAATTTTTTTTCTCAAGAATAGCAAAGCCATGATTAGTTATTTTGATATGGAAGCATACTCAGGTAGTGTAGATTCAAGTTTGTTCAAATCATGACCACTGGGGGGAGGAATGGGGCCACAACTGGTGATTAAAATTTTACATAGGAATATATAGGAAAAAATCTTCTTCTCAAGA